CAACCTTGGCAGCTTTAAGACTTGTGGACTTCCAACTCCCAGAATTCTTCAGCCAGCAGCTGGCTGAGGAATTCTGGGAGTTGGAAGTCCACAAGTCTTAAAGCTGCCAAGTTTGGGGATCCCTGATGTAGGGAAAGGGTAGAAAGTATGAATAGCCAATTCAGAAGATCAGGGCATGTATCTGAACCTTTTGGTTGCTGTTAAAGGCCTGTTGCTAACTGTTTCCTTTCGTTGCAGTTCTATGTACAACTCCAAATAAATATGTCGTGGTGGATGCGGCCGGCGCGGTGAAGCCTCAGTGCTGCATTGATATGTATGTAAACATTGTTTCTGGGCTTGCTGTGTAGTAGCTAGCAATCGCCAAGCTCCTTCCCGACACTTCTTTAGTCTCAATGCTACCTGACGCTTGTCCCAATAAATAGAAGTTATAGAGCAGGGGTGTCAAACTCGAGGCCTGTGGGCCGGATGCAGCCCATGGGGTGCTTAGATCTGGCCAGTGGGTCTGCCCTAGTCCATGGATCCAGCTCTCCCGAGCTCCGTTCGCTCTGGCAGGACGTTGTAGGAGGCCGTCGCAGCAGAAAACAGAACTCAGGAGCCCGTTTTCTGCGGCAGAGTGCTCGGGCCACCACAGGTGCCCCCTGACACGAGTGACATCAAGCTGGCCACGTTCAACCCAGCCCCTCCCTCCGAGGTCAAATACAACCCTGATGCAGCCTGGATATATCGTAATTCATATCCTCCAATGGGACACATCCGTAGCCCAGAGTCATCTATCAGGCTGTCCAGTTAGAATTGTGCGCAGCAGAAACTTGAGTCGCCTAGTTACTATCTTTGAAAACATTTAGGGAATGCAGCTGCCACACTGTTCCCCACTCTGTTGGCAACTCTAAAAAGACCATAGAAATATTGTATGAGTTGACATCGAGTTTGACACCCCTGTTACAGAGCAGTCCCTTGGGGGTCCTCTGGGTAGAAATGATCTGTTCACACCCTTGTCCCAAATACTTTAGCGCCTACGAAATCTTACGAACGGTGTTGGCGGAGCCTATTTCTCTCTCCCTCCCTCCCTCCCTCCCCCCCCTTTCTGGGGAATCGGCCTGTAACAACCCCGGGGTCTTTTTTTCCCCCCCCCCCCCCCCCCCTTTGCAGAGTGATACGTCACCGAGATGTCCGACCTTGCCATTACGGAGTCATCGATAAGTTTCGGCTCCAGGTCTCTGAGCAAAGCCAGAGGAAAGCCCTGGGAAGGAAGGAAGTGATTGCTACTCTGCTCCCCACCGCAAAAGAGCAGCAGCAGAAGGAAGAGGAAGAGAAGAGGCTGAAGGAGCACCTGGCTGAAAGCGTATTTCTGGAGCAGGCTCTGTGTCAGCCGGGTAAAGGAGCCCCCATTGCACCGTTAACTCAGCCAGTTTCTCCTCCCCGGCGTGGCCTCTGCCGCCCCCTTGAGCAGTGGAAATGCGTGGGCTAAGGCGCCATGACTCGTTATGCAGCCCCCTTGGAGACCCAAGGGCTCTTGGGGACACGGCACTTCCATGTGGCTTTCATGGAAGAGTGTGGGAAGTTGTTTCTCATAAACTCACAATCCAAAAAAAAGGCAGTTGCTTTCACATATCTTTTTTTTTTTTTTGCACCAGTTTGGCACAATGCCGAATTTGATGACCAACGGTAGAGTTTAGCACAGGGTGTCCAGCTTAAGGTCTTTTAAAATTTGTGCCACCAATGAGGTTGGCTAAAATGTACCCTGACATGACAGAAATGCCAACAGAACCAAGGTGCGATTCTATCATCCTGATTTCTTTTCTCCTCTTTCCCCCAGAAAACAGAATTGCCTCATCGGGGCCTAGTTTACTCACCGTCTTTGTGGGTATCCTGTGCATTGCTGCTCTTATGCTTCCCACATTGGGAGAATTGGATTCCCTGGTGCCTCTCTACCTCCACTTGAGCGTGAATCAGAAGTTAGTCGCTGCTTACGTGTTAGGTATGCCCCTTCTTGCTTTCACACGTGTTACAGGGTATGTGCAGCGTTCCTGATTTGTGGGAGAAACGCCATGCAAAGAAAGCCAAGTTACAAAATCCCCCCAGATAGAGTTTTCAGTTCACAACCCACAATAGAGCCCTGCGTTATGGCGGTTAAGTGGGTACCTGACTCGATCTTATGACCGTTGTTACGCCAGTGGTTAAAAAAAATAAATCGCGTGGTCGTTGAACAAATCCGGCATATCCAATGAGTGTTTGGTGTGAAAAGTCTCAAATCGCGACCATGTGAGCACCGGATGTTGCAGCCAATCATAAGTGGCATCTGGTTGCCAGGCTCTCAAATATAATCACATAATTGGGGGGCGGCGGGGGGGCGGCACAGCAGTCCACTGTTCAGGGACAGGTCGTAACTCTTGAGTCCATCATAACTTCAAATGGATATTAAGCCACCAGTCATTAAGGGAGAACACTTGTCAGTGTTGATAACATGGGTAAAATTCAGCATGTGCCAAATTTCTATAAATATAAAAACTGCTGATTGTCAACTCATATAAAATATTTCTCTGGTCTTTTTAGAGCTGCCAATAGAAAGGGGGGGGGGGGGAAGAGCAGCGCAGCAGCTTGCAAACCGAAAGTGCATTCCATAAACGTTTTCAAAGATAGTAACTAGGTGACTGAAGTTTCTTCCGTGCAAAATTCTAGCTGGAGAGCCTGATTGATGACTCTGGGCTATGGATGTGTCCCATTGGAGAATAGGAATTATGAAACACCCAGAGGGGTGGGGGGAAAACCAGGGTCAAAGGTGACAATGAATGATGTGACTCAGACTTGGCTACATCCAGGCAGTGCCGGCACTGTTAACTCCCAGTAAATCCTTTAAAGTTTTGGAAGTTTGGCTCAAGACTCATGATTTAAATGGGGGTAACTGCCGGAATCCTGACACTTATATTTGTTATATTCCGCAGGCACAAATAATGTCAATTTAAGCTACAACCCACCAGCAACATTTCCTTTTTTTTTTTTTTTTTTCAGGCCTCATCACCATGGTTATCCTAAGAACATGAATGATATTTTAATGGGATACTGAAAAGTCTTTTTTAAAAAAAAGGTGTTACAAATTCACATCGTGAATGTGAATTGCCTTTGACTCCCGTTGGGCTCATGAAGACGCTACGGAAAAACCTATTCAATGAATTAACAGTATGGAGGGTTTTTTCTTTTTTTAAAAAAAAATCACACAAAAAAAGCAATGTTTTAACTATGCTTAACCGAAACGATGCCAGCCTCTGCCCACGCTTCTGTTACGGAAGAGCTCTGCAATGCGCGACGGTTGCATCCGCGAAAGGAACCCGGAGCCAATTTTTATCTATTGGCACGATAGATAAATTCTTAACACGCAAGAGACGTTCGGTTGCTTTTAAAAATAATACCCACCTGGCCCACCCTGTTGTCTCGTCATCATGAACCACCCCCCCAGCAGCTGCGCCTGCAATGTTTAACTCCTCCTCCTCCTCCTCCTCTCCCCCATTCCTGTCTTGTGTTGCCATTAGTGCTGAGTGGACTTTGTGTACCGTAGCCGGCTCTCAAGATGGCAGAATCGGAACGGATTACCTGAATGGCGAACATTTGATAAAAGGCGGCGGCGGCGGCAGGAGGCATCGTGTTTACATAGCGATCTAGTTTGCTGGCAGATCCTTCACCGGGGCAAGAAAACGGGGACCGCGCTCGCCGTTTCTGTCCAGTTTCGTGGGCCTCCGTTCCTTGCCATTCGGGAGCTCGCCCAGCTAATTTTCGGCCAAGGTGTTCTTAAACTCGCCTCCCGGGGTGGGATGCAGGCTAACATTCCCTTAACTGGTGCCGACCTCATTACGCATCCAAACTTAAGACAGTGCTTCTGCCCCCCCCCACCCCCCCCTCGCCTCCCTCCCATGCAAGATGTGCTCTTGGCAAAATAACCACAACCAGAAACGGACTTTGAGAATGGATGCCTCTCGCATTATTTGTCCCTGGGAATGAGCGATTGTCTCGGACCGGGCCATTCTGTTTTTAATTCCCTTCCTTCCTCGTCCACCCTGGATTTTTTCCGTAAAGGTCTAATGCACTTTGACTATGTAAGGAATGTTTTGGAGGATTAAACCTTTGCACCCACCCTCCATGTTGTTGTCGTTGCTGCTTTTGTGTGCTTGGCAAGAACCGGTACCCTGCAAAGAACGTCAAAAATCGCTGTCGCGGGTTAGCTAGGTAAAGTTTCCCCTCGCACATACGTGCTCCAAAGAAGAGCCAGCGCTGTCCGAAGATGACGTCTCCGTGGTCATGTGACCGTCATGACTAAATGCCTTTGAAGGCGCACGGAACGCTGTTCCCTTCCCACCAAAGGGGTCCCTATTTTCCTACTTGCATTTTTTACGTGCTGTTGAACTGCTCGGTTGGCAGAAGCTGGGACAAGCTCACTTCGTCACGCGGGACGAGGGATTCGAACGGCCGACTTTTCTGAACAAGCTCAGCGTCTTGGCCACTGAGCCACCACATCCCAGACAGGTTAGCTAGAAGGCACCACAAAACCCGTGGTATAAATAGTACATATAAACATTTACAATACTGGTGGTCCTCGACTTAACAACTTCAACCGAGGCCAACATGAAACACTGAAGTGAATTCTGCTCCATTTTACGACTTTTCTTGCCCCGGTTGTTAAACAAATCACTGCAGTTATTAAGTGAGTCTGGTTTTCCCAGATTCCTGGCTTTGCTAGTCAGGAAGCTGCAAAAGGGGATCAGATCACACACACACACCCCTCCGAGACAACTGCAGCAGTCATAACTACAAGTCCATTGCCAAACATCTGAATTTCTGACTCGGGATGCTGCAATGGTCATAAGTGTGAAAAAAATGGACACTGGTCCCTTTTTTCAGTGCCTTCCTAACTTCAAACGGCCACTAAACAAACTGAGGGCTACCTGCACACCTTCCCCAGCTGGCTGAGTCGTAATGTATTTGTATCTTGAATGTAGGAGCTGAATCAATTGGATGGCTGTTGTTTTACAAACTAGAATAGAATAGATTAAATAAAATAAAGAATAGAATAGAATACCTTTATTGTCATTGCATTCCACAAATACAATGACATTTGAAACAGTGTTCCAAAGAAGAAAGAGAGCAACCGATGATTTTTTGTGCTGCGTTTATAACTCTGGAGCATCTTCTTATCCGCTACAGAGCATCCAGCATACCACACCGTTACACAGTGTGCCAATATGCTCTCGGTGGCAGAACAGTAAAAAGTAACCAGCAACTCCTCACCAGCAGATCCCTCTTTTTCAGCAGCCTCAGAAAGTGCAGGTGCTAATTGGGCTTTCTTTGCAGTGGGCGTACTGTGGACCGACCAAGTCAGGTTGTTGGAAATAGGAGTTAAACCCAGCAGGTCGAGAAGGCAACAAAGGAAGGCCCGTTCGTACAATCGTTCGCATGCAGTCGCAATTCATACAACCGGTTTAAGGGCTGATGGAGTGGAGTCTGCCCATCTGATCTAGAGCTGGCTCTGCCCTCCGAAAGGGTCGCAATTGTGTTTTGATCAGTCCCTGGTGCTTTAGCCAGAGCTGCAACACTAGATGGGAACTCCGGTGTGGAAATTCCTTCACACTTGAGTTGCCCAAGAGATCAGGTTTACTCAGTGATGAAATCGGGCAGCCCAGCTAGTTTGTCCCGTGGCTTTGTTTACAACTCCAGGAGAGGAAGTACGTTGGAAGGGACATTGGCTCAGCCCAGGTTGCTTTAGCATGAAATCAGCTGGAGAATTTTCTGGGGGTTTGTTTGTTTTTTAACCTCTTTGGAAAGTTTCTTGTAAACAGTTCCTGGAGGTTGAAGCACACGGCGCACTAATCTTGCACTGGATGCAAATCTGTGGCATCTCGCTAGGCCTTCCAATAAGGCTCATCTTCAAGAAAGCAAGATTAGCACAATATTTGAAAAATGAAGCAATGCCACGAGACGAAGAGATGATTAGGAAGATATGGGATTGCTCAGAAATGGACAGGCTTACATTGAAGATCAGACAAGATACAGAATATTATCAAACATAAAAACTTATTCTACCTGTGGTTGGGGAGAAAGGGGGTGGAGAATAAGAATGTAATCTGTACTGCTAAACAAATAAAACAACACAGACAATATGATGTTTATTAAGCACTAACAAAATGTAAACAATAGAAAATTAATAAAACTTTTTTTTTTAAAGCAAGCTGAGAATCCTTTAGTTCTTGGATGGGAGAGTACCCCATTTGATTCCTTCTTTGCAAGTTGCCTGAAGGAGTCCTCTGCCAGAATAATAGGGTCAAAAGGGACCTTGGAGGTCTTCTAGTCCAACCCCCCTTCTCAGACAGAAGACCCTATACCAGTTCAGACAAAGGGTATCCAATCTCTTCTTAAGAACTTCCAGTGTTGGGAGCATTCACAACTTCTAAAGACTATTTGTTCCACTGGTTAATTGTTCTCACTGTTAGGAAATTTCTCCTTAGTTCCAAGTTGTTTCTTTCCTTGATTACTTCTTGTCTAGTGTTTTGGAAAATAGCTTGACCCCTTCCTCCTCTCTGGGGCAGCCCCTCAAATATTGGAAGGTGCTCTCCTGTCTCCCCTGGTCCTTCTCTTCCCTAGACCAGCCAGGCCCAGTTCCTGCAACCGTTCATCGTATGTTTGAGCCTTCAGTCCCCTCATCCTCCTGGTTGCTCTTCTCTGCACTCACTACATTGGACAGCTTGTTTTTGCTCGCCCCATCAAATCTACTCTAGAGGGATGCGCCAGAAGAACAGCCAGCCCAATTAAATGCCAAAAAAAAAATGCCTTTATTCTAACTTATATATACAATACATAACAATTATTCTTAGAAAAATACATAATGACCGAAGTCGGCTCCTTGTGGAATAGAATCGCCTTCATTATCTGCCACGTCTTCTTTTTTTCATGCGTCCTGTTTTGACAGGTTGGTTTTTGCAAGATGTGACATGAGGCCTTTGAGTTCTTCCTTCTCAATCTTGGCTGTTTCGTCCAGGTGGTCCTAGTTGAAGGAGAAAGAGAAGCTTCTTTAATGCGATTTACCCAAAGCGGGGTAACCCCTTAGTAGTCATGGAAGACTCCACGCATAAGGTTTAAGGCTAAGCTTAGGGCTTTTTAAGATTTGGGGTCAGGAGAGCCCGAAATGGGAAATTCTGCCTCAAAAATGGAAGATTTCATCACTGTAAGGTTGAATAAATGGAGTTCTACCTGAATTCCAAAATTAGAAACCAGCTCCATGCCAGAGCGGGGCTCTGTTCACCCAGCAGGCTCAGCTATAACCCTCAATAGTGAACATGACACCTTGTATATCTCTTTAACCAAGTTATAGCAATTAACAACAAACCAGTAAGGGGGCTCTTTTAATTCTCCCACAATATTATATGTCCACAATCTGGTAAAAGGGCAGAGCGTTACACACATTTTCTTCAACCCAAGTTTGTGGTTGAAGATGTCACGTGTAAATAGTCTTAAGACCCGAGGCCCACATTTTAAATTTTGGAAACCTCCATGTAAGGGACAAGGGGAAGAGTCAAATGTGTCATCGGTCTAGAATCACTTCACACCCAACAAGAAATTAAATCCAGCCCACCTTGAATTCCGTTGACTCTTATCTCCCACCAATTTGCCGGGACCGTTAGTAGTTCAGATTCTTGTAGAGAGCTTTAAGCTGCCAGTGAGAAGACCTAAATTATATCCCCCTCCCCTCACGGACATAAGGAAGGGGACAAATACCGTCATTTGCTTTTCCATTAAGCTTAGGTTTCCTCCAAGTTTCTTGGCTCCCTCCGAGTCCTGGGGGCCCCTCGTGTCCATCTGTTCTGTGAGCACCTTCAAGTCCATCCACCATCGTTTCGATCGCTCCTCACAGGATTTCATGGCCGCCTCTGCTGCCTTGAAGTAGGAGAGGTGTTTGGCTGCCACCTCCCGCCTGGCACTAGCAAGATACTGGAACAGATGGGATTCGTCACTCCGCTTGGAGGGTTATCCATAATATAGGTTATCCAGAAACCCTAAACCCGTTCTGGGGTAGTGAGGAGAGAGGAGAAAGGGCGGCGGGGAACTTGCCCCACATGCCTTGTCTGGCCACCGGGCTGCTTCTTTCCACTTCTTTCTTCTTCTGCTTTTGGTTTCATGCAAGGAAAGCAGCAAAAGTCTTTCTTTCTCTCCCCCAAACTCTGCCAGAAATGAGTCTTTGGGACCCTGCAAGGCCGCCTGCTCCAAGACGCTGCACTGGTGCAACAAGTCTCACAAGACTCATTTCTGGCGGAGTTTGGGGGAGAGAAAGAAGGACTTCTGCGGCAGCTTCTGCTGTTTTCCTTGCATGGAGCCAAAAGTCCCTCCCTCTCTCTCTCCCCCCAAGAACGGAGCTGGAAAAGGTATCCTGCAATCCCAAATAAAGAATGATCAATTGGTAGGAAAATGGGGTGGGGGATTTTCCTGCAGACTTTTGGGGGGGATTTTCCCAGGGTCTTCTGGTCCGTGGGATTTAAAATTATGAGTTTGGTGGTCCCTGAGGTCCAAAAGATTGGCGATCACTGACCTAGTCCGTCATGGAACGGATTGACCCCATTACAGGTATTCCTCCACTTATGGCACCCATGGAATTTCTCTTAAGGGAGACATTGAATTTTGCAACACAGAGGTTATAATTTTTTAGTTATTCCAAGTTCCAGGTTAAATGAATCTGGCTTCCCCACTCCCTTTGCTTGTCAGAAGGTTACACAAGGGATACTGTCACCGTCATAAGTATGAGCCAATTTTGCCAAGCGCCTGAATTTTGATCGCTAGGATTATGGGGATGTTGCAAAATTTGTAACTCTGAAACACGGCCATACATCCCCTTTTTCAGTGCTGTTGTAACTTGAAATGGTCATGAACTAAATAAACTGTCACAAGTCCAGGATTACCTGTGTACCAGGACCCAAACCAAGCACCTTAGGGGTGCCGTGGGATGAATGAACCACACCTGTGTATTATTATTATTATTATTTTTCTGAAAATGATACCGGCAAAAAGCGGTTACCTTCAATTTTGGCTTCAGGACTTCTAGAACATTATGGAGTCTTTTAATGTCATTTCTAAGTCCCTTCTCAAAGTCTTGGAT